TAGCGAGCCTACTTTTCGACCCTCCGGAGCCCCAAATCATTGGGAAAACAGTGTGTTTCGCGACTTTCCTACCATTTCACGCATCTGGATCTTCTTTCTTCTTATACCCTCTCTCTTCTACTCTTCTTTCTTCTAATCTTTCTCTTCTCTCTGCCTCTTCCCTGCTCTGCTTTTCATCTGTCCATATTGTCGGAAGTTTGATGAAGTTTGACTCCTAAACTTCCTTCGATAATATATATATATATTATCCAAAACTGCCCCGCTTCATGTTCATTTTGATGCAAAAAATCCCCTAGCATAGAAACAAGGTGGGCCAGAGAACCCAAAAGCAAGACGGCGCGCAGCACGCCTTTTTTAAAACATCTTGTGGTGTGGGCAGCTGTGCTCTGCACGAAATCGACGTAAGATCTTTACTGAAACATCGTGCGCGCTGATGGTATCAGGGGCCACAATTCACACAGCATGCTGCGTCAGCTACGTCTACATTCTTTTAGTCGCTACTTCTGCTAATGTAATTAACTCTATCCCATTTTTCAAGTCGCTATTTATTCCTGGGTTCTCGTTTAGTTTGCTTCGTCGCAGAGGGAGCGAGGACGAAGCGTGGACGGACAGAACACCGTGCGAAATGAAAACTAAACGACGGAGGGAGTTGACCAAAAGAGCATGAAAACGAAGCTATAAAGATGACAGATGGTGAACGATCATGAAAAATGAGACATGATGAAAGATGGGTAAAGACTTCTCTGTACAAAAGCTTCTATGCGTAAAAGCTACTGTGTGTAAACGAGTCTGTGCGTACAAGTTTCTTTGTGTAAAAGTTCCTCTGTGTACAGGTTTTTTTTTGTGGAAAAGCTTCTGTGTGTAAAAGCTTCTGTGCGTGACAGTTTCTGTGTGTAAAAGTTTCTTTGCGTAAAAGCTTCTGTATGTAAAAGCTTCTGTGGGTAAAAACTTCTCTTTGTAAATGTTTTTTTTGTGTAAAAGCTTCTGTGGGTAAAAGCTTCTGTGTAAAACGTCCTCTGTGTGTAAAAGTTTCTGTTTGTGAGTGAAAGATATTTTTGCGTACCAGCTTCTGTGTGTAAAAGCTCCTCTGTGTTAAGTTTTTTTTGTGTAAAAGCTTCTGTGTGTAAAAGCTTCTTTGATCTTCTTTGATCTTCTTTGTGTAAATAAAAAAGGCTTCTTTGTGTCAAAGCCTCTGAGTGTACAAGCTTCTCTGTGCAAAAGCTCCTCTGTGTAAAAGCTCCTCTGTGAAAAAGCTGCTCTGTGTAAAAGGCTTCTCTGTGTAAAAGCCTCTCTGTGTGCAAGCTTCTCTGTGTCAAGAGTTCTTTGTGTAAAGATTTCTCTGTGTTAAAAACTACTCCGTGTAAAAGCTTCTGTGTGTAAAAGCTTCCCTGTGTAAACGCCTCCGTGTGTAAAGACTCCTCTGTGTAAAGGCTCTTTTTGTGTTAAAGCTTCTGTTTGTAAAAGCTTCTGTGTGTAAAGTTTCTGTGTGTAAAAGCTTCTGCGTATACAAAGAATCTTTGTGTAAAAGCTTCTGTGTATAAAAGCTCCCCTGTGTGTACAGGCTCTGCTACGTAAAAGCTGCTCTATGTAAAAGTATGTAAAAGTTCTGTGCGCCGTACAGTTGTCTGTTCGTAAAACCTTCTGTGTGTGAACACGTCTGTGTGTACAAGATTCTGTGTGCAAAAGCTCCTCTGTGTAAAGACTTCTCTGCGTAAACGTGTCTGTGCGTAAAAGCTTCTCTATGTAAAAGCTACTCTGTGCCAAAGGCTCTGTGCGTAAAAGGCTTCTGTGTGCAAAAACTCCTATGTGTAAAGGCTTCTCTGTGTAAATGCGTCTGTGCGTAAAAGCTCCTCTGTGTAAGACTCCTCGGTGTAACAAGCTTCTGTGTGTAAAGGCTTCTGTGTGTAAATCTCCTTTGTGTCAGGACTTCTCTGAGTAAAAGCCCCTGTGTGTCAAGACTTCTCTGTATAAAATGTTTCTCTCGGTAAAAGCCTCTGTCAAGCCTTCTCTGTGTAAAAGCTACTCTGGGCAAAAAAGCTTCTGTGCGTAAAGGCTTCTGTGTGTAAACGCGTCCTTGTGTCAAGACTCCTCTGTGTAAACGCGTCCTGTGTCAAAATTTCTGTGTAAAGGCTTTGTTGCGTAAAAACTTCTGTGTGTAAAAGCTTCTGTGTAAGAGCTTCTCCGTGTAAAACCTTTCCCGTGCAGAAGCTTCTGCGTGCAAAAGCTTCTGTGTAAAGCTCCTCTGTGCGTAAACGTTTTTTGTGTGTAAAACTTTGTGTGCAACAGTGCAAAAGCTCCTCTGTGTAACGACTTCTCTGTGCAAACAGGTCTGTGCGTAAAAGCCGTAAAAGCTCCTCTGTGCAACAATTCTTGGTGAAACAAATTTCTCTGTGAAAAGCTTCTGTGTGTAAACGCTTTCCTGTGTAAAGGCTTTTTTGTGCAAAAGCCTCTGTGTGTAAAAACTTCTTTGTGTAAAGGCTTTTTTGTGCAAAAGCTTCTGTGTGTAAAAGCTGCTCTGTGTAAAAGTTTGAGTGCGCCGAAAACGCTTTTGTGTTTAAAACTTCCTGTGTGTAAACGCGTCCGTGTGCAAAGGTTTCTGTGCAAATCTCCTTTGTGTAAGAAAGACTTCTCTGTGTAAAAGCTCCTCTGCGTAAAGACTTCTCTCTGTAAAAGCCTCTGTGTGTACAAGCTTGTCTGTGTCAAGGCTACTCTGTGTAAAGACTTCTCTGTGTAAAAGCTGCTCTGCGTAAAAGCTTCTGTGCGTGGAGGCTTCTGTGTGTAAACGCATCCATGTGTAAACACTCCTGTGTAAACGTGTCTCTGTAAAAGCTTCTGTGCGTAAAAGTTTCCGTGTAAATGCTTTTTAAGTGTTAAAACTTCTGTGTGTACGAGCTTCTCTGTGTATCTCTGTGTAAAGGCTTTCCCGTGTAAAAGATTCCGTGTGTAAAAGCTTCTGTGTGTAAACGTTTCTGTGTGTCAAAGCTGCTCTGCGTAAAAGATTCTCTGTGTAAAAGCGTCTGTGTGTAAAAGCCCCTCTGTGTGTACAAGCTTCTCTGTGTAAAAGCTCCTGGGTGTAAAGACTTCTCTGTGTCAAAGCCTCTGCGTGCACAAGCTTTTCCGTGTAAAAGCTACTATGTGTAAAAGCTGCTCTGTGTAAAAGGCTTCTCTGTGTAAAAGCCTCTGTGTAGCTTCTCTGTGTCAAGACTACTCTGTATAAAGGTTTCTCTGTGTAAAAGCTTCTGTGTGTAAAACCTTTCCTGTGTAAAAGTTTATCCGTGTAAAATTGTAAAGTCCTCCCTTTGTACAAGCTTCTCTGTGTAAAAGATCCTCCGTGTAAAGCTCCTCTGTGTAAAGTTCCTCTGTGTAAAAGCTGCTCTGTGAAAAACCCGTGCCAACAGCTCCGCACTTTCAGTGCCACCCCCTCCCAGCAGAGCTCTTCCCAAGCTATTTCCCGACCTGTTCGTTCACGCTGCTCCTTATCCTATGCTTGGGTTCTCGTTTAGTTTGCTTCGCCGCACAGTCAGGGAGCGAAAACCAAGCACCGACGGGCAGAACGCCGTGCAAAATGAAAACCCCTCCGGCAAAGAACTTTTTCCGATGCATGTCCGGCATGTCCCTTTGCCCAACGTTTAGACACCGTTTGAGAAGTCTTTGGCACCAGTTTTTTGGGACAATCGCGTTGATGGAATTTGTCCTGAAAAATCCGTGCCAACAGCGCTGCTATTTAGTCTCAATCCCTGCCAATGAAGCTATTATGCATGTCCCATGGCCCAAGGTTTGGAAACTTTGGCAGGTCTTGGGCGGAGCTCTCCCCAAGCTATTTCCCCAACGTTTTTCGTCCGTCCACCATGTCCACACTTCCGTCTCGCTCCCTCTTCCCAAGCTATTTCCCGCGGTTTCTCGTCCGTCCACCATGTCCACACTTCCGTCTCGCTCCCTCTTCCCAAGCTATTTCCCGCGGTTTCCCGTCCGTCCACCATGTCCACGCTTCCCCGAGCTATTTCCCACACGGCTTCCGTCTGTGCACCCTGTCGTCGCTTCTGTGTCGCTCCCTCCCATTGGAGCTCTCCCCAAGCTATTTCCCACGGTTTCCCGTCCGTCCACCCTGTCGTCGCTTCTGTGTCGCTCCCCCTGCGGCAAAGTAAACCAAACGAGAACCCAAGCATCGGAGATGCTTTTGGGAAAAAAGGTCGAAGGGCCCATGTTGAAGGGAAACAGCATCTCCAATGTCCTAAATCTGCCGTGTGTGCAAGGCTATCCAACTACTGAGCTTAAACCGCAAATCATACAAAATATATAAGATTATATAAGCGTATAGCAGCGTCCTTCAAAAAGTATGTTTTATGCCAGCCAATCAGTGAGGTCTCTTGCCCCTCGCCATGCCACACCCACGGATCAAAGTGCAGCCCAGGCCTGGGCATGCGGAGATGATGCCGATGGTGATGCATTTGCATCATCAGTTGGGACGTCAATGGTGATGACTGTGCCACCCGTAGCACCCTCTGGCACTGTGACCTCAGCGTCAAAATGGAAGCCATAGATTGCCAATTGCCATAAATTGCCATAGATAGCTCAGCCCTCATATGGTCACATGGTCCTTACATGGTCCTTGCACTTTCAATCAGCTACGAGGTGGAAAATGTATGAAAATGGTGGAAGTAGCTCTCCCGAGAAAGAAGCAACGACAAGCAGTCTCTTGTAATGCGAATGAAACAAGAGGCCGATTTTTAAATGATTTCGACACATTCTTTTCCGAGTCGATGCCCAAGGTGCTTCCAGCATCTCGCCATTCACCTCCACGCTCAGAATATCTCCAGGGTTTGAACCTTCTGGGATCGTAATTTCTAGCTCAACCGTGTTCGAGGTAGGGGACACAGCCTTTTCATCCTTGGTCGTGTCTCGAGGTGGCATGTGGAAACTCGGCAATTTGTTGCACAGACTCTCTCCTCCAAATGCTCGCTCCTTATACCACCTCTCCACCTCTTCACCTCTCTCTCTCTCTCTCTTTCTCTCTCTGGGTCCAGCTCCCATATTCATCATGGCCATGTTCTTTCTTGTTTTCTAATGTCCGTGACGTTCAGCTCAGCAACTTGGTCACCCTCAGCAGATACGCCCTGCACCGAACTCTGCAATCCAAGAGGGGTCACAAATAGTCACAAATCATGAAGCTTATTTCAGCATGTTGCAACAACATCTGTGTTTGCGAAGGACGTTTGACGTTTACATCAGCAAGACCAAACTTTGCACACAAAACAGTCTGTCCTTCAAGGACGTTTACATTCCTGTAGCAATCTGCTTGATCTGCGGTCGTTACTTGTGACTCTGGCTCAAGTACAACAAATCATGAACCAATGAACCTGAAGTAGGGAGATTTGCGCATTTCCTGTCACAACCGTCATTTACGCACATGTCACTATATCATGCTTGTGCTGTGCAAGACTTATTTCATTTTATTTATGTGAGAATGCCTTCAAGATCCTTCAAGCTTCCAGCATATACTATCATACAATGTTTGTTTGTAGCGCAAATGCGTGCATGTAACATGTATGGTCACACAGAGACTGTGAGAGTATTGTGGTGCTCTTCTCTGCTCTCTTCCAAATGCTTCGGTTTCCCACCAGAAAGCCTGCAACTTGTTCCCCTAAAAAGCATAAAGAATACTCTCTAGCCGCCCACCAACCTCTGAAGTCGCGCTCGCATCATTGTCAGCTGGGACAGCGATTGTGACAATACTACCACCGACAGCACCCTCCGGCACTGCCACCTCAGCAAGGCCAATTCAGAAGGGAAGCGGCGTTGGGACATGTCGGGATATTACTGATTTCCGTGCCCTTCTACAGAAAAATACAATTTGATTCTATTTGAATATTTTGGCTGCATCTTTGTGAAAGCCAACGATCCTACAAGTAGCGTCTGTACAAAATGTATCAACATGCTGAGTTGTTCGGTAGGTACTCTGGCAAAGGTACTGCGCACATTTCTTTCCCAAATTGATTGGCACATTAATTGTTTTGCACGTGGTGTCACACGTGTAGAAGTCTTGCAGGGTCCTAGCCGTCCTAGCGTACGCCAGCCTTTAATCGCTTTAATATGCCGCGCAGGGAGCACCAAACAGCATGCATCAACGGTAGCAGTGCGCACCATTTCTGCAAGATGCACCAAGATGCACCAAGATGCACCAAGGGGCTTCCAGCATCTGGCCATTTACTTCCAGGCTTAGCACGTCCCCAGGCTGTGAACCGTCGGGGATTGTAATGTCTAGCTCCACCGTCTGTGAGTGAGACAATTCATGAGCAAGCTGTTCCTCGGTATTGGAAAGGTAGCTGCAGCAGAGATTTGCAAACGTCATGGTGTTCCTCGAAATATAATGAACGACAATGCGTAGTTACTACGATTACATTGAGTACATGTTACTACGTTATCTGCATTGAAATAAATAAGCCGCTGCCATCCCAAACGATCCCAAACCTTGTTGGCAAGTCTAAACTGAAGGCCGGGCCAAGCATCTGAGTCTGTGGAAACCACCTGCGAAGACTTGGTGAAATTGAAAATGCATGCAACATGCAAATGCATGCAGCATTGCAACAAATGAGCAACAAATCGAATTGTCACATGGACACGTCTTAGACATTCACAGCATTTTCACAAAAAGGAAGATATGTAAACCTTTGGAGATTCTGACACTGAGATTCATCATGTTCGTCCTATTTCACTGCTCACCACTGAAGGTTCTGCCGCTCGGCCTGATTGCCGAGGGATTGCACCATATCAGAAACAGTAGGTGGAAATCCCGAGAAGCAATCTTCACAGTGCGGCTTGGAACTCGGTTGGCATGACTAGCCTGAACAGTGCCGACCACCAGAATGACACGGTGTGACAAAGCTGCGAGCAGCAGTTTGAGCTCAGCAAAAAGCTACGCATGGATACAAAATGACCGGAGGAAGTTTAGAAGTCAAACTTCCGACAATATGGACAGATGAAAAGCAGAGCTGGGCAGAGGCAGAGAGAAGAGGAGAGTAGAAGAGAGAAGATCAGAGAAGAGAAAGAGTCAGAAGAAAGCAGATGCAGATGCGTGAAAAGGTAGGAAGGTCGCGAAACACTGTGTTTTTCCAATGATTTGGGGCTCCGGAGGGCCGAAAAAGTAGGCTCGCTAAAGCGGCGGGTGCGGAGCCAGCTGGCCAGATGAGAGATGAAAAATTGCACGCCGTTGTGGCGCGAAGCACATTTCCAAGTCAAAATGTACAAAACACCTGGTGCTCGGAGCACTTTTGAAAGTTGAGATGTCGAAAAAGTGCGCGAAGCACATTTGCAAGTCAAAATGTGCAAAACACCTGGTGCTCGGAGCACTTTTGGAAGTTGAGATGTCGAAAAAGTGCGCGCCGCTGTGGCACAAAGCACATTTCCAAGTCAAAATGTACAAAACACCCCAGCGTCGGACCACTTTTGGAAGTTACGATGTCGAAAAAGTGCACGTCGTTGTGGCGCGAAGCACATTTCGAA